GTCAGKAACATYAAAACCGCAGCCAACAGACGGCTCAATATGTATGTGATTAACGTTACTCKTAGAATATGTAAGTGCCGTTTGGTTGTGGTATTCTTGGYYCCTGATATTGATGTAGGTGTATCTTTTACAATTATTGTTGCCTACGTCACCGTTATTTATGATATCATAATCACTTAGGGAACCAAGAAGAAAATCAGGTTTCAGACTTCCTCCCATTCTCTTTKGGAATTSACAGGTAGCTCTGAACAATGAGGACTTGGTTCTGATGTACTTCATTGCACTCAAAGACAGTCGATAGTCATCCCACTTAGGCAGGGCATCCATGTTTCTAGGACRGTCGTCATGATACGGGTTCTTTTGGTATACTGTTAGATCTTTGTTACTTCTACTATACGATTCGATCAAYGTAAAAACGTGGYGTGGAGTTGTGAAATCACAATATACATCAAGAAGCGATCCGTTGTCGCTTCGATAAATAGTGTACTTGCCATTTGGTGGAAGTKTGTTACAAGAGATTCTGAGAAAGTCCAAGCAAGATGATGCTCTGACGATTTGGCACACGCGSCCTGCAAARGGATAAGGGCAATGACAGAAGAACTTTTGTTTTGGGGTTTGGCATAAATCTTGGCATGTYCCTCCATTCAGGCAGGGCTTCATTTTGCAACAGCCGTTATAACACCCATCGGGAGGGTTCATGTGAGATTTCTGATAAAAGAAATGATATGATATAATTATAAACGTCAGGCATAATGACTTCTAATTGATTGGGAATGTGTTTAATTGATTCTTGCGTGATGTTATATTTTTCCTGAATTCCGAGAGCCAATCTTTAAACTTATTTATCGCTTGCGAAAGTCGACACTGCGGCAGCCATGTTGGCGGTCCCTCAACAAAAGATTTCTCATGAGAATGTACTATTCATGCGACCAGCATGACCATCGTATCTTTAAAAGAAATCATGTTCGAAAACCAGCTGTCTTCTAGACCTTAATCAGTGTTATAGCCATATAGGTGCAGGATCTCAAATACATCATCTTTACACAGTGCACGAACACAATTGCGCAACAAATTGAATCCATTCATTACGCAATGTAACACATTAATAATTTCCATATTTTTATTTTATAAAGAACAGACATTACCATGATATCTCAATGAGCTCAAAATATTCTCATCCACCGCGCTGTTTCCTGAGTAATATTCCCACAATGTAAAAATAGATATCATGTATGGAACCATAGTTTGTAGAGGGAAATGGTTAGGAAGTCTTTTTTGTAGCTTTTTTCCCCCTTTTTTCCAAGCGTGATGATTTTAGCCATACTGGTCACTTCAGAATGAACAGACCGAAAATTATTGTTTTGTCTATTTCTTCAAAATGCACAAAAATTTTCAATTGATATTGAAATATTTCATTTCATAATCTCATAATATAGAGTGTTTATATTCACTCATTTTGCAATTTCCTTCGTTCATAATAAAAAAGTTGTGAACGGTCTTGACTGATTCAACTTYAAAATACATACAAAAGATGTACAAAAGAAGTACAACAAAAGGTTTCCAAACCATTKCYCTCTATTAACTATGCCATTAACTATTCTCTTGTAAAGTCAATTTCTATATAACTTCAATAATAGCTAAGATTACTGCATTGTTTAATGAACTTAAGGTCTGTGTATAACAACGGTTAACTTACCCCCTTGTACTGTGTCTGTGCAAGGTCATAATACACATATCYCTTCTCTTYRTTGAAGTTTATTCCATTGAATTTATTGTCAGCATCAAGAAGCTCACATCGATCGCCTTTGATCTGACAAGCTTTGCATCGACAATCTTGAATGCACGAGCGATAACACGTGATATGGTCGGTCGTGGTTATATTTTTATAAGAATATCCCTTAATGTA